ATACATACATATAACAGCATAAGACAGCATACCTACATACATATAACAGCAAACATGCATACATGTCACAGCATACATGCATACATATAACAGCACACATACCTACCTACGTATATTGGCATACATACATATAACAGCATACATACATATAATAGCAAACATATAACAGCATGTATACAGATAGATATACTAGCATACATATCATAGAATGCATGCATACATATAAGAGCATAAAAACATACATATAACCAAACATATTTTAGCATAAATACATATAATAGCATAAATATATATAATAGCAAACAGCATACATACACACATATCACAGCATACATATAACAGCATACATGCATATACGTTAAAGCATTCATACATATGTGTGCATACATACATATAATAGCACACAAACACACATATCACAGCATACATGCATATACATTATAGCATATATACATATACGTTATAGCATATATACATATCATAGCAAACATCATAATATACATACATATAATAGCACACATGCCTACATAAATATAATAGCATACATACATACATATAACAGCATGCATACCTACATATATCAGCATACATACATATATAATAGCATACATATCACAGAATACATACATATAACAGCATACATATACTAGCATAGTACATATAACAGCATACATACATACACATTACAGCATACATACACGCATAACAGCATACATGCATATAATAGCAAACATACATACATGTAACAGAATACACGAGTAAAAGTTATAGCAAATACATACGAAGCATACGTACTAGGCATAGCATAGCAAATCATAGCATGCATACATACAATATCATACATACATATGACACCATATATACATGTATACATGTAACAGCATACATACATAAATATAACGGCATACATACATGCATGTAACATTATACATGCATACATATAACAGCATACATACATATACGGTATAGCATACATACATATTATAGCATTTATACATATAATAGCATATATACATACATATAATTACGTGCATACTTTTAACAGTATACATGCTAATAAGTTATAGCAAATACATACATACTAGTCATAGCATAGAAAAGCATAGCATGCATACAAACAATATCATAGATACATATAATATCATACATATATATAATAGCAAATATACATGCATACATATATCATCATACATGCTTACATATAATAGCATTGAACATATAACAGCATACAGACATACAATAGCTACATGTATACATATAACAGCATACATACATATAGCAGCATACATACATACACATAAAAGCATACATGTAACAGCATACATACATAAATATAACAATATACATGCATACATATAACAGCATACATGCATATATGGTATAGCATACATACATATAATAGCATACATACATATAATAGCATACATACATACATATAATTGCATGCATAAGTTATAGCAAATACATACATACTAAGCATACATACTAGGCATAGCATAGAAAATCATAGCATGCATACAAACAATATCATAGATACATATAATATCAAACATATATATAATAACAAATATACATGCATACATATATATAACAGCACGATTAGATTGCAATTTGCTATCCTGCTAAGTCCGTGGCAACAGCCTACAGAAGGTGTTATAATTATCTGCACATCTCAGTCAAATCATTAAATATATATAGGCTGATCCATTTTTGAGTGCCCTCATCAAGCGGAAAGACATCTTTCCATACCTTTGGGTTTTAACTTGTTGTACATCGATTTAAGAATCCGGATCTCCACTCACCGTGAAATGCTCTGAATTTAGACAACGGATATTGCTTCCTGTAACAAAGTTTACTTTCTGTTTGAAACTAAAACGCAAACAAAATGACTATTTGTAAATATTTTATGCAAGGAAATTGTCGGTATGGCAACAAGTGTCACTACGAACATCCGAGTGGTGACAGTCAAGGTAGGATACATCGTTATTGTGCCAAATATAATGGATCATCTATATTACCGATTATTTTGTCAGATTAAAAGGTGCTCGCCTTTGACCACAAGGGCTTGTCGTTATATGTCCATAAGGGAGTGCTTTTTAGACTAGACTGTGCTGTCTTATTGATACAACGTCAAACTCCTGTGATTTTACGAACCAGGCTCATTTCGCGATTTTACTCCAAAATGTCTTTTGTCACGTGGTTCTTGCCGAAAGCCCCAGTCACACTGTGATGTATAAGCTGCAATAACGTAGCTTTCTGACGACGAGAGATTTGTTATATACTGCATCGTCAGGCTGGGGCAGTGGAGGCCGTGTATTGGTATTAGTACTAACTGTGCCGGTATATAGCCCCGTTGAGCTACGGTTGTGTATAACTTACCTGGGTCAACCCTGGGTATCTGTAGCGAGTCCAAATTGAAGCCAGCCAGGGTAATCTGTGTTGATCCTGGGTGATTCCAGAGATGTACAGGTTGTATATACATCTTTGGTGATCTGTAGGTCGCTACAGTAGTTTTAAACTGTTTAAAACCACCACGGTCATCCGTAGCTCGACGAGCCACGTTATTTTGAAAACCGTAGGTTCACGAGTTAGTACTCCACCAGCCTTTCCGTAGGATTCCCATAGAATCATGGTGCAGGCTTCCGTGGGTGACCATAGTGTTTATTAGGAGTCATGCTGACTCACGGCAGCACTAGATAGCCTCGACACGGCAGTACTATACAGTGTCATTACAACCACCGCCGATTCCGGTACGATGGTCGATCGTCTGACAAGGTATATGTGTCCTTTCTACTACAATTTCATTAAGGTGATACTATGACAATTCATGGTTGCTCCAGGATTTTGAGGTGTGACACGGTTACACTACATCTATATCACGGTTGTGCTATGTTTGCTGTACGGCAGTGACGGCAGGAATAAGGTTTGTTACGGTACCGAGTCAGGGTGCTATAAATTGGGAACAAAATCTGCTCCAACTCTGTCAAGACTGACTTGGTACTTAAGTTTTGGAAATGGTCACATCATAGACTTTGTCATTAACAACCACAGAAACAAACTTTAGCTAATGAACTGGCTTCTAGAATTCAACATGCAGCAAGTTGCAAACTACATGGTGATGGTCCAAGTTATTCAGCTACAAAGAATAATGAGGGTCTTAAAGTAGATTGAGACTTGCTTCTTGTTTGTTCAGTGAAAGAAAACTGATTTGGAGTTAGAAAATTTGTCCCAATATATATAACCACTGAGGCGTCATGTGACAAACCGTAGCTTTACTGCAGTGACACGGTGATGATGTAGCGCCACCTTGGTGGGCCGTAGCATAACCTTGGAAACCGGGGACATATCGTAGTCATACCTTGGAAACCGGGGACATATCATAGTCATAACTTGGAAACCTGGGACATATCGTAGTCATAACCTTGGAAACCTGGGACATATATCGTAGTCATAACCTTGGAAACCTGGGACATATCATAGTCATACCTTGGAAACCTGGGACATATCGTAGTCATAACCTTGGAAACCTGGGACATATCATAGTCATAACCTTGACAGTCTGTGATGGTACTGTTGTGGAACCTGGATGTATCGTGGCCTATCGTGTTCGTCCGTAGTGGTATCATAGTAGTATCGGCATCTACCGTAGTGTCATTGTAGTGACACCTTGATATACTATAGTAAAACCCTAACGACGCTGTAGATGTTGCTTAACAATTGCCCAAGTCCCAGGGTCATACCAGATCACTGGAAAAGCTACAGTTACGTAAGGCAGTATTTCATTTGGGGCCAAAATTGGAGAGACAGTTTGCCACGTTATATAGAACCAGGAACGACAGTGGTATACGTGACAGTGTGACTGGGGCTTACATCAAAGGAACATCGATCGGTACGGGAGACATGTCATTTAGATCGTGGTTAGTGTAATTTCATTGCGGCAATAACAGGGTAAATCGTGCATTCATCACATATGCATGTATCTGGTAAATAAATATGTAAGAAAATGAAGGAGTCTTTCATTCCCTAATGCATTAATGCTTCTATTTTTGCAGGAAAGACTATTCATATTTTTACATATTTATATACCAGATGATTGACTTGGAATATCTTAATGTTAATTATAGTGGTTTAGATGTGTGGATAGTTATACAAAGAGCCTTGATGAGAATTAATATATATATATATCACATATGATTTAACCGGGACTTACTTGCAGTCATCTGGCCCAGTCCTGTTGCACATTTTGCGAGCAGGCACATTAATATTCTGTCCACACCTATTGCCAGATGTTGCTTAACAATTGCCCAAGTCCCAGGGTCATACCAGATCACTGGAAAAGCTACAGTTAGACAGTATTTTCCCTTCATTTACTTTGGCTGTAACACAATTCGCTTTTCAATGGATATATTTATAACTTAAAAATATATATTTATATTAGGGCGAAACAATCTTGGGCAAAGTGGATTTAGGGTGAAACGAACGATGGTGCAAACAGGATCTAGGGCGAAATGACTCGGATTCCCGACATTTTTACCCTAAGGTCACAGCACTGCCACCAAACAAAACATTAAATTCGGCACTAGCAACTAAACACCGTTGATTTTGCTTTACTGTAGAGCAAGGCCAAGTGTTATACCACATCGCTGGAAAACCTACCAACCTGTATTACGTTGCCAAATTTACACTTAAAACAAGGGTTGGTTGAACCGTTTTTTGTATGTTTGTTATTTGGAGGCTTAACTGATCCATCTAAAGTTTGAAGGATTGATGTAGCGGAAGATGCTCATCCAAAAGCTAGTGATTATCATCGACAGATATAGTGATTTTCCAAATTATCCAAACTTTTGACATTTTTATATATGTAGATCTGGATGAGCCACAGATAAACAGACTTAATCACTGACACCCAATTTTAACATACAGGTTGCTCATAGATAGGACTGTCACAATATATCGCAAAACAGGTATATCGCAAAACACGGATATATATCGTATTGTACCACAATACAGAGATGAAATATAGCTGTATTGCAACATTTTTTTAAAAGCTGATTTTTATGTATCTCATTCTGCTTGGTAATTTAACTTTGCAACTTACTACAAATTCTAACAGATATGCCAATACGCATAAAACAGGCTTTTAATAGTGGTGAGAATTAGTTCCAATTTTGTAATTGATGGTTGGTTTGACAAAAATCTTAAATCTACGTGATCCATATTAAATATGATTAAGTTTGATAACATTCTGACAACAACTTATCATAAAATCGAGCACATCTTTTCTATGACAATATAATCGGATACGTATCGCAATATATTCATTCTGTATTGCAATATATTGTGATACACTCTTGGCGTATTGTGACACCCTTACTTATAGTCTTATGTGCCTGAATTATCCATATAGATGTTTGCACACTAATGATGTCTAGATATTCTGTGCATACTCACATGTTGCAGAACTCTAGGTATATAACTTCCTGATCCGAGGTACAACAGACCATGTCTATAGCTTAGTAACCATTCTTGTCTGTTCTTTGTACACGTCCAGGTCTTTCCAAGAAACTCCACTAGAGATAGTGGCTTTTTCTTACAAGTACTGTGATGTGTTTTATCTCAGAATCCAAAAGATTAATTGTTTTGCAAATACACTCTGAAATTGAAATGTGCAATATTTATCAGTTTATATAATGACTTTTGTTGAGATGAATATGTGGTTATGTGAACCTGAGAAAGAGATATTGACCGAGACAAAGTTGAGGCCAATATCACATTTTCAGGTACATGTTACCACATAGTCACCAAAATAAAAGTCCTTAATTGTTATTAGCTCACCTGGTCCTAAGGACCATGGTGAGCTTATGCCATACCGCAGCGTCTGTAGTCTGTCCGTCAACTTTTCCTTTAAAACACTACTAGTCCTGAACAGCCGAGTAGATTTTGACTAAATTTGGTCTGGAGCATGCTTAGGCCAACGGGACTCAATTTTGTATAAACGGTGAGTGTGGATCCCCTGGGGGCTGAGGGGCGGGGCCCAATAGGGGAATATAGCAAATTCTTTCAAATCCTTCTTCTTCTCTGTAGGAATGAAAGGATTTGTTCCATATTTAGTGTGAAGCATCCTTGGGTGAAGGGGAACCAATTTTGTATAAACGGTGGGTATGATCTCCCTAGGGGGATAGGGGTTGGGCTCTGTTTGAAGTTTGTTCTCGCTATATCTCAAGTACTGGATGGATCTTTCTGAAATTTCATATGTACTTACAGCACCTACCATGGAGTGTTATATCTTTACTTCATACCAATTATTTTAAACATATTCAGGTGAGCGATACAGGCCGTCTGGGCCTCTTGTATTAGATATGAAATTATGATATTTTTAACATTTGAAAATTTAATTGGAACATAATTTAAATCATCAAAAGAAAAGTAAATACATTTTCCAGAAAACATTCAGTGGTTACAATTGAAGTGACAAATCATAAAGAGAATTTTAACCTTATGTTTCTAAAATTAGAAACACTGAGTTAATGTCACTGATCACCGACCTCCACATGACCAGGACTCGGCCAATATTAATGAGGATGTTGGTAAAAATTCTGTCATCTAATTTATATCAATATATCATCCCCATATCCTAACTCTTTATTTCAGGATATGCATACTCTGCTCAGCGTCAATTGTTTGGAGGTGGAAGAGGAGGTGGAGGAGGAGGAGGAGGAGGCGGAGGAGGCGGAGGAGGAGGTGGGGGAGGAAACAAATACAAATGGGACAAACGTCAACAGAACCCACAACAAACCACGCCTCAATCCTCCCCATCAGATGTCATGTGAGTGCTACCTGTAGTTCAGGTTATTAGTTGTTTTCATATGATTGATATGTTCGTGTAAAGTGGATGATATTTTGTCTATCTATACACTTTTTAGAGTCATATTTGTCAGGTACATGAAACATGCTGGAATATAGGGATAGTAATTTTTTTATTTTTTCATTCACATAAATCACCTTGACCCATCAGAGGGTCAAATGTATGAATACTTTTAAAATGAATTTCTATGAATCACCAACAGGCCTAAAGGATCATGGAATTATGTTGCATGCATGAGTGGAGGGCTATGAAGTTCAAATAAATCAATTTGATTTTATCATACTTTGAAGGTCACAGAAATGCAGCCCAGATGAAATATACAGGCCTATTTGTGCTGTAGTTATGGGAGATTCGATAACTCAGTGACATGAATTTGTTATGACCAGTGGCTACATCATCATTAAATCACAGCTATACGAATGTATCTTGCTCTGCAAAAAAAGGATATTTTGGGAAAGATAGAAGTACTTACACATTATAATGTTGTTATAAAAAAGAAATCATGCATAAACTATGTGGTCAATTTATTTTTATTGATCTGTGATTTTATTACTAAACAGAAATAGCATGGTCGGGGAAGTAAAGACCTGGGAGGATAGCAAGATGTGGCCATTTTCTTGTATCGCATTCGAGAAAGAGGGGCCATGTGTTCCAGGTGAGTATTATGGGATGGGAGGGGCCATGTGTTCCAGGTGAGTATTATGGGATGGGAGGGGCCATGTGTTCCAGGTGAGTATTATGGGATGGAAGGGGGTATGTGTTCTATGTGAGTAATATGGGATGGAACGGGCCATGTGTTCCAGGTGAGTATTATGGGATAGGAGGCCCCCGAGGGACCATGTGTTCAAGGTGAATATTGTGGGATGGGGAGGGCCATGTGTTCAAGGTGAGTATTATGGGATAGGTTTCAAGGTGAGTATTATGGGATAGGGTTCAAGGTGAGTATTATGGGATGGTATGTAAACTTTATTTTTTACAACAATTATGAAACAAGATTTCAACTTATATTAATCACTCTTGTGGAAATGCTTGGAGGGGTTTAATGTAAGAGAAAACTGGAGTAAACTTTTCTCCCACAATGGTCGTATCATATGTAGAATACTTCATGTTTCTTTTGAAAATATGTGATTACATACATGATGTTGTGATTGAAAGACTGTCCAATGAAGTGATGTGTAGGTTGTGGGTAACTGGGAATACTAAACAACCCTGTGCATGTATGATCCTCCAATGCTACAGGGGTGGGAAACATAGGGAGGTTATGGGAGAGAAAAAAAGTATCTCTTTTTCTGTGTTTTAAGTAAATGTTGTACTGCTGTTGAGATGGTCCGTCTCTATCCTTACAGAATTCACAGATATGTCGGCTGAGGAGCTACGATTTGCAGCATACGAGGCTAGCAAAACAGGAGGACTGCAGGCCTATGTAAGGGATCTTTTATTGCAATCTGATTAAAATCATATGTTACATGGCTTCGTTAACTTCGTACTACGCCTTAATATCTGAGTGTGCTGCGGTCAGGGTCACGTTCAGGTCACCTTTATATTTATAAATACTCATTAAATTTTGACCAATCAGAGACCCTCTTTCAAAAGGGCGCTCGGAGTTGTAACAAATATGTCGGACATTGATGAGAATGATGCGAAAGTTCTGAAGTTATTTGAGATTGATCGTCTGAAACCCGAACAGAAAAAGATATTCAAAGCTTTATTAGAGAAGAAAGACTGTACGGTGGTGTTGCCTACGCAATTATTACCCAATGGGTACGTTTTCCTTGGCGTCGTAGAAACGTCAGTTCCCGCTGCCATTTTTGTTTTGGAAAACTAATCTGTTCGATACCCCTCGCTGTTTATCTATCAAGCATGATATTCTGATTCGCTGGCAAACTTTTGCCAGCGCGCCTCTGATTGGTTCATCTAAAGGTCACTTGAACGTGACCCTGACCGCGGCACATTCAGATGTTCAGGCGGAGCCAT